CCAGTGTGTCCCCCTCCAGCTTTTCTTTTTCTTGTTTTTATGGGTCCCCCAGTGCGAGTCCCCCTCCAGCTTTTCTTTTTCTTGTTTTTTTTCTAGGTTCCCCAGTGTGAGTCCCCCCCAACTTTTCTTTTTTCTTGTTTGTATAGGTCCCCTGTGTAAGCCCCCTCCAGCTTTTCTTTTTTTGTTTGTATTCATTCCCAGGTGCAAGCCTCCCTCTAGCCATTTGTTTCCTTGTTTGTATACGTCTCCTGGTATAAGCCCTCCTCCAGCTTTCTTTTTCTTGTTTGTATAAGTTCCCCAGTTTAATCCCCCACCTGCATTTTTTTTTTTGTTTTATACATCCCCAGTGTAAACCTTCTTCAGCTTTTTCTTTTTTCATGTTTGCCTAAGTGTAAGCTCTTCTCTAGGGTTTCTTGTTTTAATTCTACCAACAAGAGAGTACAAATGAACTTAAAGCGAAAAGTTCCTACTTCTGTCTGGTTATGCTCCAGTTTTGATTGTGTCGTGTTAGTTTTAATTCTGTTTCAAATGCATTGAAATTAATTCCATCTATTACGACGTTTTTGTAGCTTAAATCAAAATCAGTAAATGCAAAACAAGGGCCTTGATAATTGCCACTTTATGGGGGCAGTGGGGGACGGTTAGGTTACGGTATGAGAAATTTGGAAATACTGTGCTAAGTTATTTTTGTATTGATGACATTTGTAATAATAGACAGGTAACCTAAGTATGACTTTAACCATATCTATTTCTAGTATGAGAGTATGAAATACTAGCTGGAATAAATCCTATTGTCAAAATAAAAGAAAGTATTAATTTCAGATAGCAGTGACTTAAAAACTCTATCCATGATCATGCAGCACTTGTATCCTCTATTAAAGCTTTATTCTGTCCTTAATCAGTGAAGCGTTCACTCTAATTTAGAGGATAATTTTCCTCTAGCATTGTGATCATCGATGGAAATTCCGTTGGCTTTCAATATGAATGTCTTGTTGAATGTGATGACATGTATATAAGGTGTAACTAATTTCTCATTTTTATGATTCGTACCACATCATTAGGAATGTCTATTCCTCTGATCCTGTGATATATCAAAGAGCGTAAGTTTAAAGGGAAACATTGTTGTCCCGTATTTTGCTCAAAATATTTGTTAAATAACCTTGACTACATGGTGCATTTATCGTAAGGTTGAGTGGCATAATAAATCGGACGCCCACGACTTGTTTCTGTCATTACAAAGTTTGAACGTACAGATGATTGCATTGGGTCTTCAAATATATTGTAGCTAGGTAAATAAGCAGCCAGGATTTAGGCGAGATCCCAACAATCCCATCTGGGATCCCAGGTGGAGATAGGGGGATCTTGCCAATGCAGGTGGGATCCCACCTTTCCCGCCTGGGACTTACAGATAATCCTGACTGGGATCCTGCCTTGCAGTCAGCAATCCAGGTGGAAGTAGCGGCATCCCATCTGTCACACCTTGGTCTCAAGGTCATCCCACCTGGGATACCAGGCATTCCAGGTGGGAAAAATGGGATCCTATCTGGGACTTACAACAAGTTTCTCTCTAAAGCTTTTTGCTGTTGAACGTCTAATTAAAATTAGTAACTTTTAAACCACAGTTTGGAGTGCGACGATCATATAAGCGAACAATGCATTCTGGCCAATGCTGTACCAATTTAAACCTTGGTTATACCTGTACTCCTAGGCTTTCTTAGCAATTACCGTACTTTCAAAAATAACCATTTATTTAAGTTTTCTTTAAAAAAAAAGAAGAAGGAATTGGCTCTAAGTGTTATGGTTGAGACTTGGAGCATATTATGGTTTGACAAATGGCATTAATTTAGCTATTATTACGATCATCATTGCGTACAAAACAATTGGATTCAAACTTGAAATCTTTTGATGAGAGCAAGTTGTTGAACTTTAAAAGGAAATTGGAATATTTAAGACCACAATTCGAAGTGCGATCATATGAGCCAAAAGCACATCTTAGCCAATAAGTGCACCAACTTTGAACTGTTCTCCAATTCATGTTTCACAATAGTTTCAAAAGTAACCATTCATTTCAAAATTTTCAACGCGAATTCTATGCTCAGTATGCTGCATACAGGTCTCGCAAACCGTTGAACTTTCAGAACTATCCATGTGGTGTGTTACTTGGGATTTTCTATAGGATGCTTAGTATTCCTGGCTGGGATCCATCATACCACTTGTAGACAGTAGACAAGATCCAAGGTAGAAGGGGCAGGATACGTATATTTTATTCGCCAACCGGGGGTTCCGTATTGGGAAAAACTGTGCCCGAGGTCTCGACTAATGCTCGAGGCTGTAGGCCGAGGACAGTACTCAAGACAGAGTGCACAGTTTTTCCCAATTCGAATCGACCTAGCTTTATTTTTTTCTAACACTGCACGAAATTCCTGCCAAAATAACCCGAATGATTTGGAGCTGTAATTACGGCAAGATCCTCCTTAAGCTGAACAATTTCTGAGCGAGTAAATGGTCGTTAAAACAGAGATAATGCAAATTAAAGAGAGAGACCTCACCGCGAAATATTTTTATTTACGTGGCGAAAAAGGTGATTTAAAAGGCTTCCAAACAAACTTTAAAACATTATTTTTACAAGTATCTGTCACAATCTGACACCTGTAATTTGGAGAGCACGTAAGAAAAATAAGCGTTTGTACACTTTTGAAAGAAAAAACAAGGGTACGGGTTTGGTAAACAAACTCAAGTTCAATGACTGTCAAGACAACTTTTTCTTCAAACCACCTGATGATCTAACGGAAATTATTATTCACTTCCATCGATGATTAGCGTACGATGAATATCTCTGTAAATTGCAAAGAAAGTAATTGTAAGTAAATCCAAATGTAAGTTTTGAAGTTGTGGGAGTTTGCTCGTTCGTTTGCTGGAATGACGCATGTAAATCCGGTCTTTTTCCACCGAATAAATTAAGTCAAACGAGACACTTTAACTAGAACCAAGGGGAAGTTAATGCGGATTTTTCTCGTTTAATTCATTCGGTTTTCGCGGTGTAACTTACGGTGCGTATTTGTAGTAGGACTTTAAACTTCACCAGCGACAACGAAAAAATTGTTAGAGAGAATTCAGATATCAAATAAATTAAAGTTCCGTGCCCTCTGAGAAAAAAAAAATACCACCTGGGATTGTATGGGGGCTAAGTTAGGATCTCGCATTGGATTGGTTTTTCGGATTTTATGTGCATGAAGCGGGATGCCTGGAATTGTACCTGGCACTGACGGCATCCCACATAAAAATTAGGGCAGGATCCCACCCAGAATTATAGGTGGGATTTACAGGATCTCACCCGAAAATTTCGGTGGGATACCATGTGGGAAGTTCCAAAATCCCGCTCAGGATCCCAGATTGGATTGGTGGGGTCCAACTTAGGATTGGTGGGTCTTGGCCTCCTGGTTTTACTTGGGGCGCAAAGGACAAAATGTTTTCAGACAGTTTACTGTTAACTGCATCTGTGGTATCGATGTTCATTTTTCTCTTTTATGACTCTATGAACAAAGAAATATGATGGCCCTACTTCAGTTACTACAACTAAAAGCTAACAGTCTCACATTGAGAATTGAATTTTAAAACGAAGACTTTGATCAAACTGGATGTGTGTGTTTAGAATTAGGAAATATCACTTGGGGAATATACTGCCGCGTATGGTCCATCAAGTAATTTTTCTGGTGTGCGACTGACTTAAAGGCATCACTTTATCGCACATGCCTGAGCTAAAGCTGGAGCAAATCCCAGGATACCCCAACCGATATTCCCCAATTTTCCCAACCCTACGCGTACTATGAAAAATGCGTTCGTTTGAAATTTAATTCCAGGTGAGGGAGTGATTAGCTATTGTCAAGAAAAAGGGACATGTTTGTTTGCTCATGAAGTCATATCAGACACTGAATAGTAAATATCCCGTTTGCAGCTAATATATGATCATTCGTAATCATTTTTTCAATTTGTCGCTAAAATATGCTCGTATATTTGTCCTTTGACGTTACCATTTCCCCAAAGGTAACAGTTTCCCTCAAGCTTTGATCTCGGAAACCTGTTCTCATTTCAGAACAAATAATGTTCGCGGACGAATATCTGTGCATATTTTCATGCTAAATGGAGGCGTTTGTTTCTGTTTTCCCCTTGTTTTTAGCTGAGCAATTTTAATCACATGATGATTTGAGAACAATCAAGTGTGAACAAATCTATTTCGTGCGTAATAACGAACAATAGTTGGCAGAACAGCTAGGTAAGCTGTTGCACACACCCCCCCCCCCCCTTAAAAAAAAAGAAAAAGAGAAAAAAAGGTAAAATGAAATGCAATAGAATTAAAAAATGACTCCTAAGGTTTGGTGCAGAAGTTATGTAAGTGGCTCAATTTTTTTAAATTACAATTCTCTCCAAAGCAATGGCAATTGTCTGTGAATACTGATGTATTCACAAAAATTTCAGATAAGTTTTAAATGTCTCTTCCTAAGTCAGGTTTAACTTATGCAAGTCATCAAGTCATGTGGTGCATTTGTATTAATAATTATTTCTATTATGCTTCTTGTTAGGTACTGATACTTTATGAAATGGTGTTTGATAGCTGGAAACCGGTTATCAAGTTTCAAACTGCTCTTGGAGGAGTTTCGTTTATTTTGTCTGTTGGATGGCTGAGTTACATTCTTGACACTTTACGAAAGTATCATGACCGAGATAGATTGAACTTCAACTGCGATCCCAAACCCAGTGATTTTATCAAACAACGTTGCTATGACAGCTACATTTCTACAGTTACCGAGCCGTATGGGTTAATACCTCAGTATTTTGTTGCCATAACACTCGGTGTTTTGTGTTTATTCGGGGTCAGCTTTGCAATTTGTGGTCCTGTGGCCCTTCGAAATAGACCAGGAGACAGAAATAACAGAAACGCAAAAAGATTTCGTCGCATCTACCTCATCCATGTATTCCTTCGAATATTATTCCTGGGTGTCATGTTAGGGCTGGTCTGCAGTTACCACACACTTTCTTTACCTTCCGTTTTTAAGTGTGATGAGCAGACCAACGGTCAAACCACGCCAAGTCCTCTTAACCAGACAAAAATATCGTTGCAATGTAATGATCATCGTCACAAGGAGAAATCACACCAAACTATAGCTTTTATCTCTGTTTGTGCCATTGTCATGGTGCTTAGTATAGGGGAAGTCCTGCACTTGTGCTATAACAGGAAAAACTTTCTGTACGCGCTCATTGGAGACACTGGTGATGACATGTTACTGCCAGGTAAGTAAATATTTAAAAGTTTAACTGCTTGCAAATTACCATAGCCAAAACACTGGTGCAGAAATGTTATTGAGGGCTACAGTTATTTAATGGCTAAACGAAAGAAAGAGATTTGACGTGAACATAGAGAAGACAACCCACAAAAATTTATAGGGGGGAGGGAGAAGAGGTGGTGTTTGTTAGTCTATTACACTTCATAATTCCAAACAACCTATTTGGGAGAGAGTCTTATTGGTACTGTTTGGTTCACATGGTCAAATTCGTAATATGGGAGGAAATTTAGAAGCAGTTGCGTTCACTCATGGAAATAAAGTGAAGCTTTATGCGCTCGCCAAACAACTGCAGTGCCGCCATTTGACCTTTTCACGAACTGCAACGTTAAAAACCCGACTCTGCATCCTGCTGGACGCGACCACCCAGTCTAAGGCCTGGAATGAGAAATGCGGGCTCTAATCTTTTTGTTGTTAAGAGGGTCACAAGTATACACCACAGAACTTAAATTGTATCTGTAATACTCGTTTGACTCTCCCCTAACTTTCCGTATGCAACAATCGCCATCAGTTTGCTCATTCGTGGGTGACATCTTTTTGAGATCTCGTGGGTATTGGTGGTCACTTAATTTTGGGACGAATACGAATCAACCACTGGGTCGGGTACGAACGACTCAAACTGGGTATAAATCGACTGCGTGCGAAACGTACACGAAAATGACAGCCTAGAGAACGAGTCTTTAAGATCATCTATGTATGCTTATATGAGACCAAAACTACTCAAAACGTACATTTCGAGGTTATCATGTTTTTGATCTGACATGTTAAGACCCGTTGCATTCATATTACGTCTTGAAATGATTAAATTGACATGTATTCGTGCTTTAGCTAGTTACAATAGATATTTCACATTTATCAGAGACAAAGTTTAAGAGAAGCATCGTTTTGAACAGGTTTACCTGAGAAACCAACCATCACAAATAGAGAAACAGAAGTTGACGAGGACTTCATTATTATGTTGTTGGCTCCTAAATACAGGAGTAACACTGCTTTTCATGAGGCGAATAATTGTGAAACTTTGTAAAAACAGGTTAATACTTACGCTGCAGCTCTCATATGAGGAAAAATAATTATTTGCCCAATATTTTTTCACTATCGTCATCTTTGATTTGCTCGTAAATTACATTGATAAGACTTGTTATTGATTTTAATGCTTGAAAGAGGAGTTCATCAATGTTTTATTAACCTTTCGCATTATACCAATATGTTTAATTCTATTGAATTGGTATTGATTTCCAGTCAGCCATTTGGTAATGTATGCCTCTGAAAACAAACAATTCAATGATCATTGTATTCGTGTCTGCATATTTTAATCCACATATTGCACCCAAATTTGCTGAATTCTACTCTTCCTTCTTATTTCTGTTCCAATCATTATACTCTTGTTGTTGACGCTGCGGTTCTTTCCCTGAATAACTGATTTTATAACAGAGAGGTTAGTTAATAACTTGCAGATCAAGAAACATTCTCCCTCCTAACGTTTTTGGATTCTTTGCCACTGTGTACCATTCTTCCTGTGCAACTTGAGATCTGAATTAAATTTACCTTTTGGATGACTTTGCTGTTGCGGGCGCTCTACAGGCAAGTGTAGGGAGGGGATTCAGAAATTTGTGATTGAGGAAGAGGGGGTGTCAAAAATTACTTCTCGATCTACCTCTCCCATGCCCTGCCTCCCATCCAATCGAGATTACTCAGGGAATTAGGATGCACAACTGCTTTTTAGCTCGACTTTCGTCCCAAACTAGATAAGACCGGAAACGATTGTCACAACAATCGTCGTGTTTTGACACAAGATAAAGTAAATCTTTCTCTAAGAGCCATGGACTGTTCTGATTCCAACAAAAAGGAACTGAAATGACATCGTAAGGATAAGAAAGGTTTTTCTTTTCTAGTATCTTCATCTACTTGTGGATTATCCCTAAAGTTAAGTAAACTTAGACTTTGAGCAAAAGAAAAACAGTGTACAAAACAGAACTTTACGGATTTTAAAGTATTCAGATGCAGAGATCTTACTTTAAACTCCGCATTCCAAATCTTTGAACTCGCAATCATACCGGAACGCCGTTTTAGTTCAAACCTAGCCCTAGGTTTGCTCGGTGAAGAAAATTAATTGACTCATTCTTAAACCAAGGCGATCTTACGTAGTTGAGTCCTTCGCACCTCATATAGTTTTATTATTATCGCTTCAATTCGAGAAAAATTCAAGTTATGAAAATTGTGTTTTAGGAAGCAGACGGAAATTTCTATTTTGTAATTAGTCACTAGAGGTTTTCAGTGTTAACGTTGGAGTATTGGAGATTTTATCATCTTTCATGGCTGCGGGTGACTTAAATTATCCATCAAGTGTTCTTGATGATCCATCGCGCAACCCGTGTCAAGCCATTCTGATTGGAGAGTTTACCATCTTTCATGGCTGTGGGTGACTTATATTATCCGTCGAGCGTTCTTAATGATCCGTCGCGCAACCCGTGTCAAGCTATTCTGATAGCACTCCCCTCCACTTCCCTCTCAAGGAATTTAGCCGCCAGTGGAACTTTGTGCATGTAACAAGTTCGCCAGCTTATTCGCAAAGCAACGGAAAGGTAGAAGCAGCTGTTAGCTCCGCTAAAAATGTTATGAGTAAGTCAAGAAAAGTCAGAACAGATCCATACCTCGCTCTCCTCGAATACAGAAACACGCCTAGTCAGGGATTGGGCACCAGTCCGGTGCAGCGGTTGATGTCAAGGCGCACAAGAGCACAACTACCCATCATTCCTAAGCTTCTCAGTCTAGCTTTCCAGCCCAAGATCTATCAGAAGCTTCTCGTCAAGAAAGAACGACAAGTCCTTGCTTCCAATAGGGGGGCTAAGGATCTGGGAGCACTCAGTGGTGGAGATACAGTGCAACTCGTGCCGCCTGAAAATCCGAGTAAAGAAGCTGTGAAAGCAAATGTTGAAAGGTGTGTTGGAACTCTGTCCTTCGAGGTGGCTACAAAGGAGGCCTGCCGGAGTTCAAGACCTGCTTTGGTGGCTGAAGGAGGCGTTGAGCAGTCGGATTAACAGTCGACATCCTTACCTGAACAAGCACAGACTGGTCATGAGCTCTCCGCGCCGTGTAAGCGGACAACCGTACCCAGTGGTCGAGTGGATGCGACCAATGGGCATGCGATGGCATCTCGGCAACCGGAGCCACTTGTTCAGCCTAGTGGGTTACCTGTGCAAGGCCCAACAACGCGATCAGGCAGAGTTGTTAAGAAGCCAGCTTATTTAAGGGATTATGTTACTGGGATGTAACCAGCGTCGAAGCTTTCTACGTTCCACAAACTTTGAACTTTGTTTACCTTGTTTGTCTTTGTTTTAATTTTTTTTTTTATAAGGAAAAGGATGTAACAATAGGCATTGTTTAGTTATAGCCTCGTTTGAGTGTTAAACTAAAAAGGAAGGATGTTTGTCAGAATAAAGCAGTTGGTGTAGGACTTGATGGGAGTTATGAAACGATTCCTTCATGATTAAACACGCATTAACCTCCGCTTACGTCGATATTTGTTCTCCAAATACATCCGTCGAAAAGAAACAAAGTCAGCAGAAAAGACTCTGCTCCAAAGTTTTATCTTTTCTTCTCTATTTTTTTGCGCGAAAGAAAAACGAACACGTTTTGTAGACTCCAGTGATATTAAAAAGCCGGTCGCAGATACACATCCACCATCAGATCAACACCGGCTTTTTTTGCGGGCGGTTTCCTCTCTATCTAAAAATTAACGGAAGGGTTCGAAAATAAATAAAGCATTTTCTGGCTTGCTTGTATGTTGACTGACGATGCTCTTGGCTGAGATATTGCCCTTATAATTTTACATTTAGCCTGGAAGCTTCGCTTTTAGGCCAATTATTAATTTTCCGGACAATCTATCAGCCGTGGACATTGTTAGCTGACATATTACCTGCCCGAGAGGGTTTATTTAATAAACATGTATGCTTAATCTTTGAGGTAGGAATACTGCTTCTATGAACACGCTTAAGCGGCCAACATTTGCGTGCAGACGTGATGAACACTCTTTGAATCTAGTTATGTAAAAAGTGTATCAAATGACACTGCCCTTACTATTGTATGAATTATTTTACTTTTAATAATACTAAATAGGGCACTGGCGCGCTACGCGCAAGTTGCAGAGGGATCTTCTTGTTATCATGGCTGTTCTGTTTATAATAATTTTCATTCACGTGAATTATCTTTATTGTCTTTTTCCCCTTATTTTTTTTATATGTTTTGAACATTTTCATAGATATTTTTGATATATTTGTAATCACAAGATATTTAGACTGAGATGTGGATCAGTGAATAAATATTGTCAAGATTAGATATTTAAATTCAGAGATCTTACTGATGGCAGGATAATCTACTTTTAGGTGTCTGACAAGACTAGCCTAAGTTTTACCATTAGTTATTTTTGGATAGTAATACGTGATCCTGTTGTTTCAAGAATTTGGCTGTGAGACAAGAGGATCTGATAGGGGTGGGACCAGGACCTCTTAGAGGGGGGGGCCTTCCTTCCACCGATTTTTAACCATTATAGGGTCCGTGAGTTGGGCCTGTGATATCCAATACTGGAATCGTTTCTCTGTCAGACACGAGACTAGATATTTATATTCAAGACTAAGCTTCTACTTGACGGTTTAGAACTATGGGTGGTACTAATGTGCTTTTACTTTGTTATACTTTTTTCACCATTAAGAGTAAGACCAGTAAAGCCTAAGATTTTTGTCTTAAGGGCTTGTTTGTTAATTGACCTACCCTCCAAACAGTTAAACCCTGTGGAGCAAGAGTGAAAGTACTTAAACTGCTATCCTCGTCTTCATATTATTTATTATGTTCCTTTTTTATATTTCAGCCGTAAGTGCCTACACTTCAGCTTTAAAGTCTTCAATTATGTACCATACGGAGTTCCAACCCAAACTGATTGCCTCTCGCACGATCTCTAACGTGAAAACAGACCAAATATTCACTAATCTTCTCATACAACATGGAAGAAAAGCCCTGATCAGGAGTAACAATGACAAGCCATATTCAAGAAGTGAAGAGCTTGAGTACTACGGAAAAGTTAGCGGTACCCCAGTCAAGCACTGTAGTGAAATATTTCTTGGCGTGATTGATGATCAGGAGAGTACTAATTCTATTCTTGTCGTTGGAAAAGCAGGGATTGGGAAATCCCTGTTTTGCCATAAGGTGATTCGCGATTGGGCCAACAACGAATTATTTCAAGCACGAGAAAACACCGAAATCCCCAATTTAAAGTTTGTGTATTTGCTTACTTTCCGTCAATTGAATTTGCTTGAAAATGACTGTGTGACTTTAAGAGAAATCTTAAATTGTTGTTCGGCTCTGGATGACAAATGTAACATTGATGACTCTACATTTGAGTACATTTTAAAGCATCCCAAGGAAGTTATGGTCATCCTCGACGGCTATGATGAGTATTCACAGCAAGACTACATCGCTGGAAACTTAGAGGAACAGCATCCCAATAACGCTAGACGTAAAATGCCGGTGGCCGCATTATGTTCAAAACTCATTAAAGGGAAAATCTTGAGAGGGGCTATCGTCATGATTACCTCGCGACCAGATGAATCGGACAAGATGGGAGGAATCCGTTTTAAACGATATGTGGAAATTGCAGGATTTTCGTCGGAACAAGTCAAAGAATACGTTGAGAAATACTTCGAGAAAAACGAAAATATGAAGAACGCTGTTCTTAAACATGTCATGAACAATGAGAACCTTGTGAGTTTTGCTCATATTCCTATGCTCTGTTATCTGTTGTGCTTTGAGATGGAGTATACCCTAACCGAATCAGAAAATCCTGATGACCTTCCTGTCTCAACAACCGACGTTTACACCAAACTTATTGAAATATTTGAACTTAAGCACTACGCCGAGTCAGAATACAAACAGAAAGAAATTCCTGAGCAATTCAAGGCCCCTCCTGTCATTAAGAACACTTTAGATAAATTATCAAAGCTAGCGGCTAAACTGTTGGTTGAAAGAAAGCCAACTTTTGATGAAAGGGAGATGGAAGGCGATTTTGAAGCGGAAGAAGTCAGCAAACTTAAAGGTAGTGGTCTTCTTTACTGTGGTCAGCCTTTCAGGACTGCACTGATTACAACCACGAAGCACTTTAGCTTCACACATCTAACCGTCCAAGAATTCTTGGCTGCTCGTCGGTTTGTTAAGGAAAATCGCGTTCCAGACAAAGAATGCTCTGAAATGGTTGTCCAATTTTTGCTGGCGTGTTATCAAGTGAGGGAAACGAAGAACTGATGGAAAAACTATTAAATTCGCCCATTATGCATCGTGATCTTAAAAGGACGTGTCTGACTGAGTATCAAAACAAAGAATTTGCCAAAAAATTCATCAGGAATAATCCGCAAGCGTTCTGTAATTCAGACGGCGTCATGGCTTCTAAGGAGTTATCAGATGTGGACTGCATTGGAGTATCATTTGTGTTGGACATTATCAGTGAACTAAATAAAGAGGAAGCTAGAGAGGCACAACGCAAATGTTCTGATAAGTTCGTCACAGTTCAGAAGTTAAAACTTAGGGGATCACAGCTAACACTGTCTGGAATACAACGAATCTGTAATTCACTGAACAATGAACACTGTCTTGTGTCTGAACTGCACTTATTGGAAATTTACTTGGCTGATGAATGTGTTGATGTTATTAATAGATTAGTAGTAAGGAAGTTAACCAAATTAACTCTAGTGTTCACTAAGATCACTGATACCGGTGTGGCCAGTCTATGTGAAGCTTTACAGCATCCAAGCTGTAAGCTAACCACACTAGATCTGCTGGGTAGTTCTATCACTGCTACCGGTGTTGCCAGTCTATGGGAAGCTTTACAGCATCCAAGCTGTAAGCTAACCACACTAAGTCTGCGGCTTAATTCTATCACTGATACCGGTGTTGCCAGTCTATGTGAAGCATTACAGCATCCAAGCTGTAAGCTAACCACACTAAATCTGCAGTTTAGTTCTATCACTGATACCGGTGTTGCCAGTCTATGTGAAGCTTTACAGCATCCAAGCTGTAAGCTAACCACACTAGATCTGCTGGGTAGTTCTATCACCAATACCGGTGTTGCCAGTCTATGTGAAGCTTTACAGCATCCAAGCTGTAAGCTAACCACACTAAGTCTGGAAAGTAGTTATATCACTGCTATCGGTGTTGCCAGTCTATGTGAAGCATTACAGCATCCAAGCTGTAAGCTAACCACACTAAATCTGCCGGGGGGTTTTATCACTGATACCGTTGTTGCCAGTCTATGTGAAGCTTTACAGCATCCAAGCTGTAAGCTAACCACACTAAATTTGCAGAGAAGTAATATCACTGATACCGTTGTTGCCAGTCTATGTAGAGCTTTACAGCATCCAAGCTGTAAGCTAACCACACTAAATCTGGGGGAAAATTACATCACTGATACCGGTGTTGCCAGTCTATGTGAAGCTTTACAGCATCCAAGCTGTAAGCTAACCACACTAAATCTGCAGTTTAGTTCTATCACTGATACCGTTGTTGCCAGTCTATGTAGAGCTTTACAGCATCCAAGCTGTAAGCTAACCACACTAAATCTGGGGAAAAATCACATCACTGATACCGGTGTTGCCAGTCTATGTGAAGCTTTACAGCATCCAAGCTGTAAGCTAACCACACTAAATCTGGGGGAAAATTACATCACTGATACCGTTGTTGCCAGTCTATGTAGAGCTTTACAGCATCCAAGCTGTAAGCTAACCACACTAAATCTGGGGGGAAATCACATCACTGATACCGGTGTTGCCAGTCTATGTGAAGCTTTACAGCATCCAAGCTGTAAGCTAACCACACTAAAGTATTTTTAATCACCAGAGTGAAAAACAACGCTTAATGTAAATAGAACCGCAAATATTTTGTAATAAAGGGGTTTTTTTTACTGGCGACATTGTTTACTGTACTTGATTTGTGTGTGTAGACCACTCGAGTGGTGACAAGTAAGACTTGGGGTCGGGGAGGGATGGGAGGGTGATCTTTTGTGAGGCTACTGGGCGTCTAAGGAAGCATTAGGACAGGAACATTTAGTTAAAGTTTCTCGAGGTAAGGAAAAAAAGGAAAATGTCTTCCCGTTCACCTGATTCTGATTTGATTTTGGGTGAAATTACACCCTTCTAAGTATTGCCAAAAAAGAGATGGTTTTCTTGTTTGTTTTTTTTCAAAAAGCAACAATTTTTCGTTTTAACTGTCCGCCATTACACTGTACCGATCATTGCAAAAATTTGTCATCCTCGGTTAAGTTGTTCAGCTTTGTTAAGTTAAGTTCCAGAAGAATTACATGTAGAGACCTGGATCGAGAGATAGAGTAGGAGGTTAAATTTCCCACTTGAGAACCCAGCTTATGTAGCATGCACCACTGGTTTTAACCTTTTTGGAGTAAGTTGCCGTGGTGTATCTAAGCTCAGATTAGTTCCCAGATTGGACATTTAATCTCTGGTTTCAAAAAATAATATCTCGAGTCAGTTCTGTTAGTGCCGCTCGATAAAGACGCAAAATGGTGATGGGAACAGATTAAACGGAAAAATTTATGTTTTTTTTTTATTGAGGTGGTATGTTTGGCGTTTTACAAAAACGGTGAACTTAATACTGAGTAAGTTTGCAATAACAGTTCTTCTGAGAACCTCATGGCCACTATTGGAGACAGAAAAGTCAGTGCTATACTCGCTAAAATAAGAGACAGCCAAACGCTACTGATCTCGCCAATTACATCTCCCCAGAAAAACAGTCAGCCTCCAAACGTTCCATTGTGAAGGCACGCACTAAACGAGCCAGTGCAGAATTAAACGACGACTTGCTTTCGTCAAAACTAGCTTCAAAAAGTACTAAGAGTTACCAAACGACCACGACATGCCTTTGTAAAAACCAACCCCTAAGCGTCTTAAGACGGAAGCGAGTTTTAACAACCTGCGGAACACAATTGCCTACGTGGAGACACGGCGCGCAAAAACAAAGAAATTCTTTTTTGTTCTTGTATGGAGGGTTTAAAGGAAGGAAGAAGGAATTAAAGTCGTCTGTCAACACTGTACGAAGAGCATCATCAGTCAAACCTTCGATCCCAACAGCAGTTTTGAGAGACCTTATATGACTGATTCATAAAGAAAACTCTTTCAAATTCAACCACAAAAACTATTTTCAAACACTCGCAATAGCTTTGGGAAAAAAATGACGGTAGCTTTTGCAGTCATATTCATGGCTCCTATTGAGAAACAGCTACAAACTAGCTACAAGCCCACAGTAGCCATTTCTTTGGAAAAGATACATTGATGACATTTTTTATGCGTGGACCATTCCCGAAACCGAAATCAACAACTTCATTGATTTTGCTTACTCATTCCGCGCCACCTTTAGATTCATGAATGAACAGTCATCAAAAAAAAATTGTTTTTCTCGATACTGAAGTGTTGAAAAGACCGAGATTTACCGATAGCAAAATCGTTGATGTTTAAACATATTTCAAGCCGACAGAAACGTTCCAAGATACACACAGTTATCTTCACGCCACCTTCTCAGTGTTAACCCTTTACACCCTAACATCAGTATGCATATTCTCCACACTGTTCTCTATACACCCTAACATCAGTATGCATATTCTCCACACTGTTCTCTATACACTCTAACATCAGTATGCATACTCTCCACACTGTTCTCTATACACCCTAACATCAGTATGCATACTCTCCACACTGTTCTCTATACACTCTAACATCAGTATGCATACTCTCCACACTGTTCTCTTTACACCCTAACATCAGTATGCATACTCTCCATACTGTTCTCTTTACACCCTAACATCAGTATGCATACTCTCCACACTGTTCTCTTTACACCCTAACATCAGTATGCATACTCTCCACACTGTTCTCTTTACACCCTAACATCAGTATGCATACTCTCCACACTGTTCTCTTTACACCCTAACATCAGTATGCATACTCTCCACACTGTTTTCTTTACACCCTAACATCAGTATGCATACTCTCCACACTGTTCTCTTTACACCCTAACATCAGTATCCATACTCTCCACACTGTTCTCTTTACACTCTAACATCAGTATGAAAACTCTCCACACTGTTCTCTTTACACTCTAACATCAGTATGCATACTCTCCACACTGTTCACTATACACCCTAACATCAGTATGCATACTCTCCACACTGATCTCTATACACCCTAACATCAGTATGCATACTCTCCACACTGTTCTCTATACACCCTAACATCAGTATGCATACTCTCCACACTGATCTCTATACACCCTAACATCAGTATGCATACTCTCCACACTGATCTCTATACACCCTAACATCAGTATGTATACTCTCCACACTGTTCTCTATACACCCTAACATCAGTATGCATACTCTCCACACTGATCTCTATACACCCTAACATCAGTATGCATACTCTCCACACTGATCTCTATACACCCTATCATCAGTATGCATACTCACCACACTGATCTCTATACACCCTAACATCAGTATGCATACTCTCCACACTGATCTCTATACACCCTAACATCAGTATGCATACTCTCCACACTGATCTCTATACACCCTAACATCAGTATGCATACTCTCCACACTGATCTCTATACACCCTAACATCAGTATGCATACTCTCCACACTGATCTCTATACACTCTAACATCAGTATGCATACTCTCCACACTGTTCTCTATACACTCTAACATCAGTATGCATACTCTCCACACTGTTCTCTTTACACTCTAACATCAGTATGCATACTCTCCACACTGTTCTCTATACACTCTAACGTCAGTATGCATACTCTCCACACTGTTCTCTATACACCCTAACATCAGTATGCATACTCTCCACACTGTTCTCTTTACACCCTAACATCAGTATGCATACTCTCCATACTGTTCTCTTTACACCCTAACATCAGTATGCATACTCTCCACACTGTTCTCTTTACACCCTAACATCAGTATGCATACTCTCCACACTGTTCTCTTTATACCCTAACATCAGTATGCATACTCTCCACACTGTTCTCTTTACACTCTAACATCAGTATGCATACTCTCCACACTGTTCTCTTTACACTCTAACATCAGTATGCATACTCTCCACACTGTTCTCTTTACACCCTAACATCAGTATGCATACTCTCCACACTGTTCTCTTTACACCCTAACATCAGTATGCATACTCTCCACACTGTTCTCTTTACACTCTAACATCAGTATGCATACTCTCCACA